AAGAATTGTGGGGTTAATAAAAGTACCAACTTTAACTTTTCATCACATGGCTGATGGCTTGGTTTATTAGCTCTGTTTTGTATATTTGAATCGAACCGGATTTAATACCGGAGTTGGACCAAAAATCCAAATTAATACGCTTTCAAGTTTTAAAGACATATTTAGCATTTTGTGACAGAGTTATTAAAATAAAACAATAATCTTTATATAAAAACTTACAAAACAAATTATTGTAAAAAGCTAAATATGTCTTGAAAAAATGGTAATGAATACACAATTAAGGGTGAATGGCAAACTAAACTTTAGAGTTTGAAATTTTATCCTATTTCTTTTAATTTTATAAGATTGGATTGTATAACAAATTTTGATATAAAAATAGTTTATTTTAATAACTCTCCAAAAAAATGCTAAAATATGTTTAAAACTTGAAAGCTAAAACAAATGTTAGTAATCACTAAAAAATGATAAGTTTTGATATAAAATAGTTTAATAACTCTCCTACAAATTGCTAAAATATTTTTAAAACTTGAAAGCTAAAGTAAATGTTAGTAATCGCCCAAAAAGGATAAATTGTTCTTTTTCGGGCAATTAATATTCCAAATCGGATAAGTTTAATAAGTGTGTTAGATTTTATCCTTATAATGTTTTTTTGTGTAAATTATGTATTTCGGGTGGATTTTAACCCGTTTAATTAATTGATATATACTATGTTTTAAAACAAAATACAAATGGTTAACCAAACAAAACCCTCTTTTGAATTTGTTGAACGCTTATCAGTTCGAACCGAACTACAATTCGAAGCATCCACTCCTATTCTCCTCCTACATTTTTGTTGGAGGCATAAAATATTGGAATAAGAAAGTTACTTTTGAAAACAATATTTAAAAGAATGATTAATGAGTGGTCGGTTCTCAAATTAATACTATCTCCAACCCCAAGCAATCTCTTTCTCAAAAGTTTTTTCGTGACATCGTCAAACATTTATTAATAATTATAGTGACAATAGAGCAACCACATAATTAGGGAAAACTTACTAATTTTCTTTCAAAATGTCCCGGAAAACTATTCGCGTATTACTTCCCTACAAAACTAGTATTACACGCTTATTTCTCTCTAATTCTGAGTTTTTTCGGTTAATAACAAACCAATCATAAACCAAGTACACCGGTTAGTAAACCGAAATCGAAACTTGAC